GCATTTAAGGCTCCGGATTTAAATTAGAATAGGGACTTGGGTTTTCTTGTCGGGTCGGGGGTTTGGAGCTATTGGAGCGCTGGCTGTACAGCTTCAGGTTCGGTGATGAGACGTCAAGGCCCAGGGCTAAGATTTGCCTAGGCGTACGGGTGACGCTTACATATTTCCTTTCTTGAGAACTCGATTGAGATAGCATCTCGTTTCTTTATATGGATGAGGTCGTTTGTGTTGAGACACTACTTCATAGAAATGAGGGCTGCCCTGGGACTCAGGCAGGGACCGTAGGACTGCGATCGCAACATGCGAATACTGGGATCTCTTGAAGAGTCGATTGGAAGTACATGGGGGCTCCAAGGAAACTGCTGACTCGATGTACATTGATGTAGCAGCGGTTTGAGAAGTTTGCGGGGACGTCATGGCAGGAGGAGGCAGAAGTTTTCAGAAGTTCGGGGTAGTGTCAAAACAGTATTCCTTTTATACTAGGCAACATACCCTTGCGCACGTTCTGGAATAAATACTCGAAAAAATCATTCGACATATTCAGGCTTGTACACTCTGGCCCTGCTCTCCTGACATCACGGTGGCCTGTCTGCGGAGCAGCTGGAGCGGCGCCCTCCTCTTCCGAGGTAGTCTCGTAGGAGCTGCCCTCCTCGCTGCAATACCCTTCGGGAACCATGGGGCATATAGGGACATAAGAAGATGGTAGGGGTCCCTGAAGGATTGTGGCATACACCAGCTACCTCCCCAGATGATGAATGTCCGTGTTGCACTTTAAGGGGAGTGCAGAACGGGCTCTAGAAGAAGGAACGAACCTCAACCTTTCAACCTTAAACCCATAATCCGCGGGGCATCCATTCCCTTGAACGGGACATGCACCGTTCACAGACGAGGCGCCTCATCATCGCCCTCCACTGTCTGGGCGCAGGGCTTAGGGCTTCCGGGTTTTGGATGCAGGGTCTAAATTTCAGTCGGCCGTTGATTTCTTCAAGGTATGCGATTCAGCCTTTGGAGGTTGGGATTCAGGCATGCAGTAAACAAACTGGAGCCCCGAACGTAAAGTCGTAAAACTAAGGGGCAGCACTGCCACAAAAGTCACACCGCAAGACTCTGCACCCAAACGTTTACAAGCTTGTCGGAATTCTCCGGCCCCAAGAACCCAAGATCCTTTATGTTTCTCTGTCTCCATCTCCAACTACCTGCACAGCCTTAAAGCCGCCGACATGAAGCCTTAACCTCTCCGAGCTTCCGCTCCTCAAGAAACTGTGCACTTTAAAACTGAAGCCTTGGCCTTCAACCATTGCGTGTCTCTTGACAACAGTTTTCCAACACAGGTTGGTTTTCGGCAGTGGCCAGAAAGGTGTTGGAAGACCGGTCTTCGATTGCGATGCAGAGCTACTGTGCTGGGCCGAACCCTACATGCTGAAACATGTTGCAATGCCTTGCTTGAAGGAGAGGTCATTAGCTCCATCACGTATAGTTTGAACTGCCAGCCACTGCTGGCCTAGAACTTGCTGTTATGGTAGCACGGCCCTTCTGGTTTGCATACGCCATGGCTAATTCGAGAGCAGCACCATGCTGATTGCTTCACTCCCATGCCTCCACGACGATGCTGAGGATACAAGGACTGTTGGCTCAACTGAGACTGTGGCGAAGCCCCATCTTACCCTGCTATCAATGTTGGCGTTCAAAACTTGAACTTTGCCGTCCCATGAATACATGCTGTGTGCGTGCATAGATGATGAAGATTGCTGAATGTCGTCTGCGTGGTGATAACGGACCACGTGAACATAGAATATTGGTCCTGAAGCTGCCTAAGCCCTGGCGACCGACCCGTCCCTTCGATCGCCTTTCCAGCCTGGCTGGCGCCTCGTCACAGAGCTTCAGGCGAGAAGGTGTTAGCTTTTAGGGTTTAGACTTTACCGCTGCTTGCAAGCTTGGGGCAGTTACTGTGCGGGTGATGCTGGTGCTGGGGGCGGCGGTGGCAGCGGTGGCGGCGGCAGTGGTGATGGTGGTGATAGAAGAAGCTGCCCTGGGCTTCAGATAAGGCTAGGCCTGGGCGTCAGGACTATGGATCCCAAATCTTTGCTGCTGGGACCCTTTAGAGTCAACTCTGCGTTGACATTGAGAGGAGCCTTCTCAAGAACAGCGACCAGACTTCCTTCAGATAAGTGGCAAGCGCTTATTGCAGCTGCAGCATGTGATAAACTCTTCAAGAACAGCAGGAACTACAGAAAAACAGGGGACAATATCTAGTGCGGCGGAGCATGTGTCACATAAACGTCGGCTGGTCTTCACAGCCGCGCAGCCCAAATCCTGAAGCCTCAGACCCCCATCCCTCAGGCCCACCACAGATGCACAGAAGAGCCCTCTACAACAGCAATTGACGCCCTCAAGTCCATGCATGTCAGAGAAGAGGTTTCAGAACACCGGAACCACAAAATCCTACACACAGCCTGTAGAATCCCTGCGCACTGCCTCTATCCTATGAGCCCAAGTCACTTATTTCAAAAACTTTCCTTTGATCATGTCAAGGAATCATCCTTTGATTGGAGACATCGTCCTACATATCGAAAATTAATACATGTGCTAGAAAAATCCTTGAACTCCAAAAACCCAAGCCTCCAACCACACAAGAAGTCTAAATTAAGAACAGGCACCCGCAGCATTGGACCCACTCATCGCCGAAAAGTCAGAACTATTCCAACGCCATGGAGGTTGCTTCTTGCATGGACGCAGGGAAGTTACTGGGCTCTGGGTTAGGGTCTAGAGTGTAGGGGCCAGTACAAAAAAGGTCATGGGCACTATCAGGACTGCAGTGTACAAGCCTTCCATGGCTCGAGCGATTTCCAAGGCGGACTATCTTTATTCCCACATATCTGGGCTTGAGGTCGTCGGGCCCACGATTCTCCTGAAATTTCTGTTCATTTAGAGAACTTATAGTGAATTGGAATCCAAAAACAAGTTAAACAATTAGGGTCCAGCAGTTTTGGATCAAGCTGTGTAGGGTAGAGGTTGTCGGCGGGGTATGGGTGTGGTGTCCACCTTGGTTGGCAAGGGGGGCAGCGTGATTTAAACTAGCTTGGAAAAAGAAAGATATCTAAACTACCCCCATTGCTTACCCAAGGAGCACAAGAATCATGCATGTGCTTATAGAAACTACGTGGGCATCACCACAACTTGGAAATGGGGAGCTTTGGAGTTCTTCTTGCGAAGGATCATATCCAGTCCTTCTTGGCCAGGGAGTCTACTCAAGAGGCCTTCAAAGTCTGCATGTGATGTAGAGCCTTTGCTGCGATCCTCTCGGACGTGGAGTCATGTGCTTGCTGCTTGCATGCTGTCTCCTCCTACAAGGAGCTGAATGGACAGCCGAAACGAAAAGGAACCACTATAGATGCAAACTGAAATGATATGTGTCATGCAGCGGCGTTGTATTGGGGAATATACTAGCAACTATGCCAAGTTGCTATGAGGAATTATCTTTCCACCCTTAGTTCTGCAAGCGTATCCACTGTTTTGACAGCAGCCCATGTAGACCATGGAACTGACGCACTGGCCCTGGCTTTTGGGTACAGTTCTATGTGCTTCGTGCGACAAAAAAAGCAACACTGCACCAAAAGGAACCAAGACCTCCTGAGTAAACCTGAAACTGGTGAATCTTTTGCCTACGTTCTTCGAATTACTTCAGTTGCGTGGTTTACCAAAACCTCTCAAAACCCCGTTGATACAAACCACCTCAATGCCAGAGAACCCCGTTGCTAACACCCTTCAGTACCAATTACAAAGCCCGCCAATGAACTTGCTTGCTAGCTCGGACCCGCATGCAATGAGCACCCCGGCGAACGACTGAATAAGTCCGTGCAAACTACTAGTCTGCGAGTACTACGAGGGCTTCTCAACAAAGGCCTATGTACCTGTGAAGTCATGTACAAACATTCTCAGGGCACGATATGGGTCCCTCAGGAGCACGCATGCAGGCTGCCATGTTTGGGCTGCGGGCTGAGGATGACTGAGGATGAGAAACAACATTTTGCAACCTAACTATTTTCAGGAACTTCCTCAGAAGCTAGACTAGACTTCGTTCTGCCAGCACGCATTTTCTCCGACGCCAAGGCTTCCAATCAGACAGCACCTGAACCTTAGCGTCGCCTATGTGAAGCTTATGGTAGGTTTGTTATATAACACCCTGCAAATTTTGAGAATCCCCAAATGAACTCAGGGAAGGCCTGGTTGGGTGCACCGGGGCGGCAGAAGACAACCTTCACGTGCTTCCCTATTGGGACGCCAACGACGACGCCTTAAAAAGTGCTCAGGTCTGCTCGAAGGTCCCAACAATCTCCTCAGATGAGGATTTGAGTGTTTTTTTTGGCGGGATTCTTGGTGCCTGGAATTACCGCCCCAGGATCCTCGGTTTCAAGTACCTCTTCTACCTAGCAAAATCATCCACAATGTAACGCTTAGGGCTTGAAGGTTCCACACAAGGGGCGCTGCAGACTTGCTTTCAACAGCTTCTAATAGTGTGCCTGGTCGCCACGTAACCTGGTCGTCAGGTAAAACGGCTCCGCTCAAGATCTGGGTTTAGGGCACGTGAAGCTGGCAATAAGTTCGTTCATGCCATAGTGCACGCTCACTGTCGGATTTTGAGCGCATGATGGGGAAATTATTTGTACTGCAAGGTTTGTGACCGAACAGATGTAAATACACCATCCATGCGAACCCATCGTTGTTCCAAACAACCACTACGCAGACCTTACGAAATCGAACTCTGTACGTTCCCTAACTCCTTCTTAGAGCAGCACCCTCCTTTTCTATGTCTCTCCCCTTGGCATATTGCCCAGAAAACCATGGCATTAGTTGTGGCTCGTATGGGAGTTCTTAGAAGACTCCCTACCAAATCCGGAAGGTATAGCTGCAACCTCAGCACAATCTGCACATATCCCTTGATTCTTTGAGATTGCCCATTCTTATGCGAGACCCCCACATCACCTGGGCAGCATAGGCACATACTTCGACTTCAACGTCATGAGCCAGCCCTGAAGGGCAGCCTCCTGGACCCAGCATTCTCACTAAGTAGGGTTCAGGGCCTGCTCTGTAAGGACATAAAGAAATATGAAGCCCTTGCAATAGAGCTACAACTAATGCCCAACGCATTCAGGTTGGGGGATGTGGGGCTTTCAGATGCAAAGGATTCGGGTTTAATGGATTTTGGCCGTAGGGCTGAGGACTGATAATTCAAGGCCTGGGGATCCAAAGGTGGGGAAGCTAGTCATCATGATGAACCATCTACGGTTTCTGGATCGAGGCAGTTCAGCGAGTGAGGGCTAGGGGACTTCCGGGTTCCAGTCATTCAGCAAGTTCGGGTTGAGATTTGATTTCAAGGAGTTTTTGCGTTCTGTGATTCGGTACTCAAACAAAATGCACGCTTATAGGATGGGAATGTGGAGACTCAAGGATGAAACTTTCAAGTGTGGAGATCTGCGGAATCTACGGGTTCGTGATTTCAGGAATTTCAGCTTACTAGATATGTTCTGCCAAATTTTGGCATCAAACCAAAACCTCAAAGGTTCCAATATGTGACGCCTCTTTTACAAGAAGCCTGAACTGCCTGAAGCTGCCAAGCCCAAAAAAGCATCATGAGCATCAGCTGCAAAGGGTCTTTCGCCAGTCCCACAGGCGAGCCAGCAGCATGAGCATCAGCTGCAATGAATTCATGTCCCAGCTAGCCCCAGTGCCAGCCAGAAACATGAGCATGAGCTGCAATGGGTTTCTCCCGCGCCCCAAAGCTCGGCCAGCATCATGAGCATGGGCTGCAATGAGTCTTTCCCGAGCCGCATAGGGGAGCCATGTTGGCCCGGCTGTGGGGCCCCGGCAAATCCATTGCAGCTGATGCTCATGAGCATCAGGAGCAACAGTTGCAATGGGTTTTTGTCCCGAGCCCCCATGCCAGGCAGCATCAGCTGCAATGGGTTTTCCGGAACCCCAAAGCTGGGCCAGCATCATGAGCATCAGCTACAGCGGGGCTCTTGCCCTCACAACCATCTGCAACAAGGTGCCGTCATGGAAATCCCTCCTGGCTTTGGACTCTAATCCTCAATTATACTTCGCCGCTCCAGACGCCGAACTCCAAAACTCCTACCCCAGTCTTCTATCTCAGCTCAGCAATTCTTAGAACCAATCCGGGTATGGATCCTGCACAATTCCAAGATGTAGTCGCCACGAAGTCTTCATAAATACCTGCACAGCTGATCACAGCATAACCACTTCACAAACCCAGGCTGAAAACGCTAGACCCCAAAGCCTAAGTCCTAATCCATTGCCGGCCCCTGCTCCTTAAACCCACACCAACCGCCAACAAGAGTCTATTCCTGAAGTTGAGGCGCCCTGCAATTTGTTGAAATGCGCCTGGGCCAATGAAAGGGGCTCTGTGGCCTCGTCCTCCGTCTCTTCCTGCATTCTGACTGGGGTTAGGTTTCGGGTTCAGGCTAAAGCGGCTTAGTGTCATGGGCATTTATGTCTGCCTGGTGAAGTATGCTCTTGGAAGACCGAAACAGTCTACAAGGGGCCGGGGGGGAATCCGCCGCGGGCCAACTACCGGCCATAGCCGCTTCCGTTCTGTTCCACTGGCAAGCAAAAAAACCTGCATGATCCGGTAGTCTGCAATCCTTTTGCCAAGAAAGCCTGTAAAGGGGGAGCAAGGCAACAGGTACTGGGTTCCTGGGCACTGCACAAACTCAGCTTTTCTGACGCTGCTGCTGTTGTTGAAGCTCACGTTCAGCCAGGACCTCTCGTAGCCTGTCCCTGAGCTCGTCGTCGTCCATCCCTTCCAGCACGCTTTTGCAGAACCTGTATAGTGCCCTCAGAAAGCCTTTCAACAAACTGTAGTAGTGTTTCTTTCCGGGGGTTATGCGACTAAGTCTAGCACGAAGGACAGAAAAAACAAGCACAGTTATAGTCTGGTTTTGGTGTATGAGACCACAAAGAATTGTCTAAGCAGTCCCCAGGAACACCTCGCGCAGAACGTGTCCGTGGCAGGCTTCGGGTTGACAGTAGCAGGCCAAGCGCCGCCCCATGAGATGGTCCACGTAGCCTCGCATGTTCCCCACGTGCTGAGCCTCCATGACCTTAGTATGGGCTGAAGCTCGAGTTGGGAGATTGCGGTACATGCCAAAAGCAATAGGGTCCTTATCAATCAGGCAGGCCCCTGCACCCAGAACAAACAACTCGGAGCCACAATACAAAAGACCCTCTAGCTGACCACTGTTTGGAAATGGCATCCCTGCAATAGGACCCAAGTCACAAAAACCTTCGTAATTTGTGCAGATCCCCACCTTCCAAAAGAGCTCAATGACGTTGTCCCTGGTCCAATTGCCCTTGTCGTCCAATTCGAAGGAGGCTCGGAAAACTTCATGCATATCTTGAATCAACCTATACTGCCCGCAATACTTCACCAAAAGCGCAACATGTTCAAAAGGCTGTCAGCTAGCAACAAATATGCCCAGTGCGCAGATTTTACCGGGAACAGTGCGCATTAAGTACCCAAACCAGAAATTCTAAAGCAGGTTCCAGCTGCTGCCTGTGGTTCTGGAAAAGAGCCAGGCACTCTTTTGCTCTTGGCCAACTACCGCCTCCTTTCGCGCTGTCAGTGTTGGTGTAGAAAGTCTGATAACTCTCCTAGGCTTCATGTTGCCCAGAAAGAATTTCTCGGACAGGGGCAGCCTAGAGGATTTCAGACGCAAGGAATATACAGGAGTTATAACGAGGTTACAACATCTAGTTCAATACGTTGCCTTGCTGAATAACGCCAGATAGAAAAAAAAACATGGAAAATTAACAGACCACCTAAGGACCTGTGCAGACATTGAAGTCTGATGTTCCTCCTAGGTAGGATTTCGGGCTTTCCTGGGCCTGACCTCCACCGCCAAAATAAGAGAGTCTCAGGGTTCTGTCCGATGACGAAAGGGTTGCCGAACCCGCAGTCACGAATCTCCGGTCCAGCGTGCCGTCCGATGTATAGATGGAGCCGCCCCTCTGCATCCCCGTTACAGATGCGGTCTGGGCATCTGGATGCATTTTCAACCCACGCCACTTTGCTTTCATAATCGCCACCGAGGTTGCAGGACCGCTCCTTGAGCTCCCTGGGGCACCCCTTCATGTGTGACTGCTCGGTACCCAGGATGTTTGCAACTTGCGGCAACAATTGTGCGATCAACACCTCTCGGCCCATTCCAGCAAGATCGGATGCTGAGGTCAGAGGGCCAAGTTGACGGGACACCTGGCTGGGATGGTGCAGACGCTCCATTGCCACAGCCATCAGCATTCGCCTGAGCTTTTCAATGTATGTTTCTGCACCCACTCCTTCCGCCGGCATGAGAATTCGTTGATTGAAAAGTTCGATCAATGCTGCAGCCCTTTTGGGGACATCTGCATCCCCCTTGGAGGCAAGGTACAGCAGACGCTTGCCCCTCAGCTTTCGTACCTCAGCCACAATCTTGAGATTCAGAGACGCTGGATCTTCCGCGAGCACATCCCAGGCCTGCGACTGCAGAATGTCATGAAACTTCTTGCCCAACCCAGGAGCCGGGCTGCGTGCGCCCTTATGCCTTCCGATATAAACGGGGAGACGGGCGCCGGAACCTTCAAGTTGCCTCTCCAAAAGCTTTTCTAAGTCTGCTCTCCCGCCCACCACATCCAGAGCAGGCCGCAAACAGGTTTCCAGCCTCTCCCGCCCCAAAGCCTCAATCACAGCCCAATCGATTTCAGTCGGCTCGCCTTCAGAACTCAGCTCTTCTTCCACCAGCGGCGACGACCCAAAGATGCCCATGATCGCAGCGATTCCAGGAATATATATATATATATATATATATTCAGTATACTCAAGCCTGATTAACGAGCAACATGATCTCCAGCAACATGACTGCGTGCTCTTTAATCTTCACGCTTGTCCTTCAAGCAGAAGCTTGCAGAAAGGATCCTGCGAGCCGTACAGAAGGTTACTTGGCTAAGAGGGTTCCATGACCTGGAGTAACAACAACCACAGCACATGAACGAGCACCGAGTGCAAGGATCAAGATCATGCAGAGCGAATTCAAATGACCTCCTAGAGCCATGGCGAGACAGGCACCTTCAAGCTGCCACGAAACCCTCTGGAAGCACTGAAGTAAACTCCTGACACGGATGTAGTTAACCTTCGAATTATGCTTTCGCAAAATCGCTCTAGACTCCATATTCAAACCTTCCTGACTCAGTGAAAAAGTCACCCGAAGAAAGAACAAGAGGCACAGCCAAAGCATGAGGGAAACACAGACACAACGAGAAAGAGAGAGAGAGAGAGAGACAGAGAGAGAGAGAGAGAGAGAGAGCGACAGAGGACCACGCGTGCCTCCAAGCTGTTCTTTGCCAGCAAGCGGGTCGCGTCGCGCCCTGCCAGAGTGTGGTAGGCGCATCCTGGCAAGGTCTAGCGTCAAGGCTTGATACAGCTTTGCATATTGGACAACCCGAAGATTGATCTATATGGGCTTTTACGGGTTTGGGGAATGTAGGTATAGGGGACTTTCGCTGTGCTGGGATGAGGGCTTCGAGATTTGGGTCCGGGAACTCTGAATCTCACCAACCTCAAGCCAACAAAGTAAACTAGCACTTCAGCATCAGGAGTCCCCTTAGCCCCCATCTCCACTTACGGCAGCTTCAGAGACCTCACTAGACGGCAAAACTTTGCTCAGGAGCTTCTTGTCTGCCACGGTTTGCTAAATAAAGTCTTAAGGGCCACCTCGATTCAGAAATGCGTTAGAAGCCCCCGTATTCATTACAAGAACTCAAAATCGCTCAGATTTCGTTCTTGCTTAACTCTTGTTTGCTGCCACCCATGCTTTTAGGAGCAGAGTCTAGGAATTCGGACTTCGGACTTTGACATCATCCAGCCTCGCAATTCAGAAGCCGTGCGCATGTGCCTGAAACTCAAAAAGCCTATCAGTGTCTATGCCTGCCTGAGAAAAAAGAGAAAGAAAAAAAAAAACATCTCCCCCCCAAAAAGAAACTCCAGATCGTAGCATCCTTCCCGCAAGAGCTAAGACCTAGATTATGGAGTCTGAATTCACGGGCCTGGCGCGTAGAAGTGGGCGCCCTGGCGGATAGCAGGATTTGCAAAGCTTGACTTTTTCCTCTCGGATTTGGCAAGGTCACCAAAATCAAGAAGCAGCATGCCCAAATCTAGGAAGTTCTCCTGATCGACAGGGCAGCACACCAAGACTCCAGAGTGCTTCAAAAAGTTTTGAAATTGTTGAAAGCCATGAGTGCAAGTGGGAAAGGGCAGCTCAACAATGAACCAGCACAAGCCCAGAAAACCTAACATCAGCGTATGCTAAATGGCACGCTTAGCTACAGAAGCTCAGGTGGCTTCGGCTTCACGAGCTAAGGCCTCACTGTAGGCTTCAGAGCATACAAGCAATCTTGAGCTCAGTCCGATGTAGTAACTGGTCTGGATTGCATGGTGGTCTGTCATCCCGCCGCACTTAACCCCTGAAGCGGGCTGGACAATCTGTTAGCATCTAGCGCTTATACAGCTGAAGCTGGTCATTACATCTAAATGAGTGCAAAGCGATGATGTTTCTATACAGGATACCATGATGTTGCGAGCATGCGGGAACCATGGCTTTGGCACGCAAATCTCACAGTCTTGGGGGTGTTTGATGAGCTACCGTACCGCTTGGTGCTCGCAACATGAGACCTCCAGGGACAAAGCCTCGCGGGTCTTCTGGTAGGAAGGGCATGGAGATCAGGCGTCGAACGGCAGCGGTCGTTTTCACAAATCAAAGTGCAGGTTTGCAATGGCTTGAAATCAGCGCCTTTAGGCGTCGCCAGGTTCACGTCACGGCATGTGCATGACCGCCAGTTCAGGCGTAAAGCATTGAAACATCTTAATCATGAATATCCATGCAAAAATTTCTTGGCAATCAACTTGCTTTGTGCAAGCTTGCGGAGCAGATCCATCAAGGAGGCTCCTCGAGCTCGAGGTGAAATTCGCTCCACAGGGTTCACGGAAAGCTGCAAGCTGGATAATGTCCGCCTGTTCTGGAAGATGGTTCTCGCGCTCCTGTGTTGCCTCTGGGGCTTCATCATCACTGTCTTCGTCTTCGTTCTCATCTTCGTCCTCGTCGTCTTCCTCTCTGCGGCCCACCAATGCGGCAGCCTCCTTCTTGTGGTCGCTCTNNCTTCTTCTTCCGCTTCGTAGTGCTTTATCAGCTTCTCGCCGAAGCGGCACACCTTCGTGCCTGGCACGAGCGCGCATTTGACGGCGGCGAAGATCTTCTGCCGGGGGGCCAGCATGCGCACCCCGTGCTGGGACAGCCATTCGGGTGTCAGCGCTTCCAGTCCGCCAGCGGCTGCAAGCTCCTCTGCATGCTCAGCCACCAGCCCAGACAGGTTTCACGCCTCACCCACTCCCGGATTTTCTCTGCTGTCCAGGCCATTTAGCTCTGCAGGTGGCACTACTCAAGGGCAACTCATCGGCTTGAATGCTGAGGCAAAGTGACTAGACCTGTGGCAGTGCTAGTGCTCGCCTTCTGGCAAACCACCTACGCAGTTCTGCTTGAATGCGTCCGTTCAAGAGTCCTACAGAACAACCACTGAACTCATAGAGGGTCCGGCAGCAGACGAGTGCCCTGCATTTGCGGATGTTCCATCTTGAGGTGTTGAACATCACATGTGGCATGCAGTGTTGATCTCAGCTAGCAAGTTTGAGAGATCATCACCGCAACAAAACAAGTTTCACACAAGAAGCATGGGCGGATGGGGCGCTGAATTCTGAAAACGCCTCCCAAAACAGACCTGGAAGGAACTTTTTTGAAAAACGTCAACCTCCAAAACATGCAATCTAGCCTACAATTCATCTAGGCCAGAACTGTCCAAATCAATATGTCAGCAATCAGCAGCACGCGCACACACACACACACAGAGACACATGTCTTCTTGAAACAGGGGGGGGCTGCAACAAAGCCTGTCCCGCTGGCATGCCAGTCGTCTCCTCATCTGTTACCACCCAAATTCCCTTTGAGCAAGTCCCAGCGTACTCAAGGAAGACATCCAACAGGTCCCTCATCGACATCTTGAAACTGTGCCATCTTCCTGCGCAACTGCGCAAGCCTTTATAAAGCGTACGAAAGCTTCGATCTACCTACCTACGTAAACGCACGAGTGACCCAAGAAAGTAGTTTGTCCTGGTTCAGGCGAAACTCCATGTCGATACCTCCAACCCTGCACCCTATAGAACAAAAATAGGCAAGTAAACCTCAGGATTCTCGTAAGAGCCCCCCTTGCAGGGCCTTCCAAACATTGAAAACGAGCCCGGAGCAGGCAAGGAGAATTGGTCCATCCTGGATCACAGGGTTTGCAGTTTGGAGTTGCGGCTTCAGGGTCAGGGTGATTTAGGATTAAGGATTCAGAGTTGGGGGTTAAGGGGTCCAGGGTTGAGGGTTGAGAGTTCAGGGACATGGGTCTTCTCAAAACAAAATCCCTGCTGTAAAATCTCACTGGATGCAAACTTAGTTTGTTGTTGTTTGTTTGATGTTTTTGTATGTTGCCCTGTTTTTTTTTTTTAAGTCTCAGGCGAGAGATCGATTTTTCGCTGCAAATGATGAAAATGATGAACATGATGAAATGATGAAGAAATGGTGGAAATGATGAGAAAGTGGTGGAGATAATGAAAACTATACAAATTTATGAAAATGATGAAACATTATGTAAAATAATGAAGAATTGATGAAACATTACGAAAAATCTCAAACCTGACGAATTATGATGACACATGGTAAAGAGTTCATGAAACATAGTGAAAAGGATAAAAAAATGAGATATTACGAAAAAGTGATGAAACCTGCCTGAAAAAAGGTGAACAACTATGAAGCTTTGACAAATATGGTGAAATGTGCTGACATATGATGTAAATCATGAAAAATCGCGTAAAAATGATGAAACATGACGAGAAATTATGAAATATGATGAAATCTGATGAAAATTATGGAAACGATGAAACATGATGACAATCGTTGGAAGATTCTGGCAAGGCAGGGAAGCTGCTGAAAGGTGACGGAAACTGATGAAACACGATGCATATGACGATGAAAAACTGTCACAACATGATGAAAAATCATGAAAATTATGAAATGACCTGAAATGATGAACAGATGTCAAGCACGGATGGAATTGAAAAAAGGCGGGGGGTTGGGGGG